GGCAGGTAAATTGCCCTTTCAGAACCAGAGGTGAAGATGTGCTTGGAAGCTATTGGTTTCTTGTTTTGGTTGCAGTGTGAATTTTCTGGATAAAAGAAAAAAATCTCCTCTTGCAGTTATCCACATAGGAATTTGCACTAAAAAGCCAACACTTGCAGTGTGACCTATATGACATTGCTGTTAATTATGTATTATATATGCTGCTTTTCCTGTTTTTTCACTGGGAGGGGCCTCTTGGCTTCTCAGTTCATACGCATTACTCTCATTAACATTAATAAGAATTTAGGTGTTGCAGAGTGATTGTGATATCATTTTGATATCATTCCCCAATACTTACCAGGGTCATGTGCTCCAAATAAAGGCAGAATGTCATTCTGGATACCAGGGTGTCCTTGGGATCGTTTTTCCTACAGAATTAGCCCCTGAAGCTCCTGGAGCCAACCAGGATTCCATGGAGCCCTCTTACATGCTCAGGCCATTCTGACCCACCCATAGAACTGAGGTGCTCATGCAACAAAGCTGGCACAGCCATCCTGCAGCACAGAGTTCCACTCATCCCTCTTGTCGGAGGCTGGTCACTTACCCAGTTTCCTTTATGATAAAAGGAGTAATAGCTGTGTGCAACTGAATTTCTCTGTTGTTTTTGTTAGTGGATCAAATTCCTCCCTGAAATAACCAGCTACAGTTCAGCTGAATAAAGGCTATGGCTTCATTTGCATCATTGCATAATTATTTACTTCAGCCTTATCAAATCCTTTGTTTATTTTTAAATTTACATCATACTAAGCAAAAAATAATGTCATGCCCTGGAGCAGTGCAGAAACCATGATTAAGAGAAATAGCAGCCACTAAGACTGATGGTCATACACACAGGATTAAGAGTGGAATTTGACTTCCTGTAGGTCAAGATTTATACAAACCACTTGGTCACTGGCCAGTTCTTAACTCATTTTGAGTGTCCTTTTTATTAGGATTGGAGAGCAGACTTAAAAGCTGTGTTAATGAAAAAAACAATTGACATGATTGAACCAGACCCTAAATGCTTGGTGTCTGTTGGAATTAGATGAACAATTCCTGTGTATTTTGCTACTGTAATGCAGCATTGTTTTCTGATCATGTTTTCATTACTTGTTCTTTGAGAGCACTGAAACAATTTGAGTGAATCTTTGTATTTGTAATGGGTCCATCATGTGGGAAAAGATAAATGAATGTGATTCTTGCTGTCCTTATTTGGAGAGATCAGGGATGGATTGGGAAAGTCAAACAAAACCTGTGCAGAACTGGCTCTAGTTCAGACTGTATTTTCTACACTGCCTACAACTAATATGTTTGTATTTGATTTGGACACTTTGTATTGGTAGAAGGAAGTCAGGCATAAATGAGGCCAACACTATTATTCAGTGTTATTAATGATGTTGTCTACTCTTAGTTCCTCAAAAACTAGAAAACTAATAAATTTTACATATTGGAAAAAAAATCACAGATAAATCAAACAAATACATAAATTCTTTAAAGTATTTAATATGTGTTAAGAGGACAGGATGATGAATTCAATATTGAAAACCAATATCAAGTTTACAATTATGTACCATTTATCATCACTGATTGCACAGACAGAGTATTATTGTGGGGAACAGAATGATGCATAAACTAAAACCCTGATTGGTTTTCTAAAAAAAAAAAACAAGTTAAAATTCATGTTATGTCTGAAAAGCTTTGTTTTTCTTTTTCAGGCATTATTTTCAATAGTAATTGTTCATTCAGACACAAATGATGCATATTTAATTTCTTGGACTTTGATATTAACAGTATAATAATTTTCCAGTGTTGATAACTTGTGCTTTTACAAACACTAACAGGATTCAGTTGGCTGTTGTTTTCTGAAGCCAAATTTCCCCTTTAAGCAAAAAGAATATATGGAAAATGAAAATGAAAAAGTGGAGAGGAACTAGTTTTGAATTGGGACTAGTTTTGCATTGCTTGTACAAGCAAGCAAATGAAAGCAGCAAAATGCTCTTGAAAGGTGAATGGACTTTGAAGAGAAAACGTGTACAAGTGGCTGGTTTTACTCAGCAGATCTTTTCAAAGGGTAAAATTCTGCCTCCCCAAAAGTCAACAGCAGAGCTCACAGTGACTTCGGTGTTTTCAAACTCCTGTTGTCTGTGAAGGACATACCTCCTCACCTTTATGAAAGAGCTGCTCTTCTTTAAACTCCTGTCACCCCAGCTGAGCTCTGGGAGAGGGAAAATGAATTCTTCTCTGGCTCACACTTTATCAGCAGAATTATTAAGCAGTTTTCTGTGCAGAGTCACTCTAGTAATACTCTCCTGCTTTTTTTTTCTCCCCCTTTTTTTTCAAATTCTTTTCTCATTTTCATGTTGGTGCTCAGGTTTCTTGGGGATAACCAGATATCATTTCACCAAACTGAAGCTGTGCACTCATAACTGAGAGTTATTTTGTCCTTCAGAATCTCAACAACTCAATCTGATTTATGAGAGAATCTGGCTAAGCTTGAAGATTCAGTTGGAGTTTACAGAGTTATAACTCTAGTCTAGACTCATTGAGTCAACAATAATAAGAAAGAAGCCAAACTTGTCTTTTTATATATCTTTTTTGTAAACTATACATTTTAAAAACAGAAGCACTGAACTAGAACCAGTGTGCTGCAATCTAGTGCTGTTTGTAGTGAATGTCTTTTAGAAGGGGGTTGCATTTAAATAGACACCAAGAGGAGATGAGTATTCCAGTAGTCACCCTCAAATGGAGAAGCATCCATAGCCTCATCCATTGGCATTTACTGACATCTACACCCCTGCAAGCAGACAGCCATAGTGCAGAGAATGCCAGAACTTTCCATGGGAAATTACTGAGCTGCATGGGATTTTATATGAGCAAGAAGAGTGGGGCTGAATGCTTTGCCTCAAATATCTGTCAAAAGTCACACAGCAGAATGTAATATCTTGGGTTTCATTGGTGTCCAGAGAACTCATACTTTGACAGGCCACTTCTTTGGAAAGTTTTACAGAGAACACTGAAAGACAAAGGAAAAAAAATTGTCGCAGCAGGCTTGCCTAATTCATTTTAAGTAGTCTGGTTCAGTCTCTGTGCATTTCTTACCATTTAAAAAGGAAAATCAGGGATGCTAAATAGTTCTCCAAATGGAAACTGGTGACAAAACTGAGTTCTAAACAATGCCATCAGTATAGAGCAACTGGTGGTTTTTAATATTCTTAGACAAACAACAAAACCTAATTATCTTTATTTATTCAATAAATCAAGTCAAATTTGATCTATTGAATTGTATTAAATATTGAAAATAATTTAATAAATGAACACAATTGCTAATTTATTATTGATATTCATCATCAGGATTTTGGTAAAAAATAATTTAAAACAGGTGGAGAAAGATAGTGAGGAATTCACCTCAGGTACAATACTGCTGCAGAACCTGCTTAGGTTGCCTTAGCCATGGGTAATGAAGAAAAATAGCTTGTGGAGCCAGGAAGGGAGCAGAACTGGGCCTGGAAAAATCTAGGGAAGGAGGAATCTCTCCAGTACCCAGGGATTCTCCACTGCTCCATGCTGCTGGCTCAGGGGGCTGCTGCAAGGTCTCAGGAATGCTGCAAACCAGCACAGCCAGGCAAGGCAAGCCTGGGAACCTGGGGGCACGAAGTGAAGGAGTTTTTTGGGAGGCTGGGAGGTTGCAGGGAGTCCCTTACGGAGCCAAGGTACCAATCCTGGCCCAAACAATGTCCTTTTTGAAACACTGCCATCACCTGCAGTCATGCACTGGCACGTGACCAAGAAACACACAGTGCAGGACAAAGGATTTTGGCAGCCTCATATGGACATAAAATACTGTACAATGTGGGGATTCATCGTGTGGCTACGGGGACGAAAAAGTTCTATTAATCATTTTGGTCTTTTATCAAAAAGAGACTTGGTCTTGTGTTTCTTGCATACTGAGATGTTAGAAAAGCAGGATCACAGCCAACATTGTTATTCTAATTAGAATATAATCAGTAATAGTACCTAACACAAGTAGAGCATTTCATCTTGAAAAGCCTGTGCAAGCATAAGATTGCTGGCTAAGAGCTAAGTTAGTGCAGCTGTTCAAATCACCTGTCATAAGCCTTTTGGTCTAATGATTTTAATCATTATGCATTTGTAACTTCTGGTACATCTTTCAGGAGGAAAATGACAACCGTGGGGTGCGACTCATTCCCTGGCTGATGCCTCTCTGAGCACGCAGTGGCACCGAGCCACCCGGGAGCAGCAGCGATGCAGTCGGTGTGACAGCGCAAGGGCAGATGCTCTGGACGGTAGAGGATGCTAGAGAAGAGGTAAATTTTCCACGGCGCTTTTCCCCATTAGCATCCCCTGAGCCTCGCGTGGTGTCAGCTCGAGGCAGCGTCTCCCCGCGCAGGGGCTGCGAGCTGCGTGTGCCTGCCCGTGTGTGCCCGCTCCTCCAGCTGCGTGCGTGCCTCTACTTGCAAACCTGGCACCTTGAAATGGGTCCAGAAGTTTGCGTGATCTCCCTCTGAGCACATCCGCGGGGTCTGAGAGGTCTCTGCTCGGGAGATCGCGGTGTTGCAGCCGCAGGAGGCAGGGAGCCGCGCTTTGCCCCCGTCTCCTGCCTCTGCTGAGCCACCGAGTGTTTCTGCCTCGGCTACAGTTTGCTTCCTCATTCCCACATGTTCGGGCGGCAACCTTGGGATGCCGGGGTGGCAGTCTGATTCTTTGTCCTTCTAGGCTACTGAATGTATTTTAATTGAATCAGAATCATGGGCAGAGAAAAAAACCCAAAACACATACACAAAGCCCAAGGCATCAGGACTAGATCCCCCTTCCCCGAAAGAACAAACGGTTAAATAAATAACGAGATGCCAAACCAACCATCACCAAACGAATAAGCCAAAAATCAGCGTCAGCGCCGCAGGAAACGGGAAAGTTTCTGCGCTCTGAAGCTGGTACCGCACGTCAAAGCGAGAATCCAGGGGGAGGGGAGCGGAGCGCAGCCTCAGCCCGGCGCCTGCGAGAGCCGGGGATGCGCTGGTGCGCCCAGCCCTGCATCCCGGAGCGACTGCCCGAGAGATGCTGCTGTGACTTGGTTCTGCGCCGGGAAAAGAACGGCTCCGAGCCCCCACCCCCGTCTCCTCCCGCCCTCCTCTTCCTTCCCCCTCCCCCGGGTCCTGCGGGGAGGCGGGTTTAAGGTGGGTCGTGTGGCCGCGGTAACTTTCCTAACAGAGCCAAAGAGGCGCCCGGAGTCCCCCGCAGCAGCATCGCCCGCCCGTCCTGGGCAGCGGCACCGGCGCCGTGCCCCCGTGCGAGCGGCCCCGGCTCGGCCGAGGCTGCTCGGGCTGCGCTCGCCGCCTCCCGCCGCCGTCCCTCGCCGCAGCCCCGCGGAGCCGGAGCCGGAGCCAGGTCCCGCCGAGGTAGGTGTGAGTCGGGACAAGCGCCGGGCGCTGCCGGGGACGCGGCACCGGAGCCCCGTGCCCGCAGCTGCGGCCCCCACGCCCGGGTTGCTCCTGGCGCTGCTGCGGGGCAAGGAGCATCCTCTGCACGCCCGGCTGCGAGGGACGAAGCCCCTGCCCTGCTCCTCCTGGAACTGCCCGAGCAGCCAGCACGAGCCGGGGGGAGGCAGTCTCTCCCCAGTCCCTTGCCTCAATCTTTGCATTCTCGTTGGTGCTTTTGGAAGTGCTGAGCTGGGAGATGCGTGCGTGGGTGAGATCTTACGGCTTTATTGGGACTCTCCCCTGTCAGAGCTTCTCTCGGAAGCCGCTTCCTGCCCCCCGCGTGGTTTACTGGGGTGTTGTATCGGCACGAACTTTCTTCTGGTTGTAGGACACGGATTTGGTCCCCTCGTGTCCCCGCGTGTCCCCGTCCTGGGGCTGCTGCGCTGCGCGGACTCGGGCTGGCGCTCGCTGCTCGGATTGTAGCGGCTTCCCTTGTCCCTACCTGCCGGGGCTCCTGGTGGGAGAAGGTGTTTGGGGCAGGGAGAAGTTGTAGGATGCAGTGTGTAAGCGACACCTGCGTTTCTAGAGCCTGGAAAGGGGGTGGAATCTCACTCTCTCTGGCGCTACTCGCTGCTGCCAAACATTGCCTTCTTTTGCCTAGGCAGGACTCTGGCCACGCTGCCAGATGGTTCCTAACAAAGAGAGAAGTTTGGGAGTGTCAGGACATCGGCTCCCATCGCAGCGCACAGCTCTGGAGGCTGTGTCTGTCTGTGCCGGTCACTCAGAGAAAGCACGGGGCACCTGATTGATCCAGAGGGGCGGGCAGGGCATCAATAGCTGGGAAACCAAGGCAGCCATCGCTCCTCGTTAAGTAAATCTGTGATCACTGCACGCTGGGCTTAGCCCGTCCTCGCTCCCGTGCAGGAAGAAAGTCCGGAGTTAACTAAAAGGAAGGTTCAATTAATGTCTTTATTGCCCCCGACTTAGAACAGAATTATGTAACACATAAATCAGCCAGAATGAAGCAGTCTGTCTGCCTTCCACGACCTGTCAGATGGGGGAGATCCCACCCCCTGTCATGATCAGTCCTGTATTTTGGTAATAGAAATCTCAGGGTTAGGTGACTGGAGGTTATGTCTCAATTTCACATCATCGGGCTGAGGAAATCTGAGAAGATTTATGCTGGGATATCCAAGTCTGAGTCAGAATCCTTTCCATGCTTAGATGTCTCTTGGAGTCCATCCAGAGCTTTGCTGTCCCTCTTGCTGTTTGGACCTTCCTGCCATGCCTACTTTGTTATTAAATCCCACAAATTTTCCTTCTCAGAGTAGTTAGTGCCTGCTGGATGGATTCTTTCAGGACTATTGCCTTGGTTATAGTGCTGCTAAATAAAGGTGACCAAACTGACTGAACAGCCTCACCACGGGTTGGATTTTAGCCAATCTTTTACTGAGTGTTTATGAACAAGTTGATATTCATGGGTCCTGCTCTGAGGTCTCTTAAAGTTGGTGTGGGACACCTGAAATTGTCTTTGATGAGGTTAATAAATGCTAATAAGCATGTGTGAAATGTTTGCAAAATCAGTTTCAAGGCTTATTTGCCACTAGCAACCTCTGGAGGCTTCTTCAGTGTTCAAACTCTTGAGTTCAGTTTTATTGCTGCTTCTTGCTGATACCTGAGTAAATTTGTTACAGAATTGCAAGAGTTTTATGGTGAAAGTGTTTCAACATATGAAACGTTGAAAATGGTCATGTGGCCATGATCTGTTTTTCAAAACGGTCTCAGTATTGTCTTTATTTCCAGTCACTCCCAGTCACCTCTTTAAAAATTCTGTCATTTTAGTTCAAAAACCCAAATTGGCTGATGTTAAATACTCACTAGTAGGCTGCATTATGTTGCTCCAGCTTTTTACTTATGAAAAAGGCCTAATTTGATCTCTTGGTTTTTTAAAAAGTTAAATATAAATTAATTGTCCAAAGAATCAAACAGAAGCCAACAGTCCCTTTTAAGAAGTCCCATATTTACTGTGAATGAGGCACTCAGCTATTTTCACTTTGAACAATCCATCGTGCTTTAAACACCAGGCAGCAGAATTAATATTTAAGCAAATGCATACGGCAAAACTATAAATCACAGAAAACAGTTAATTATATTGGAGCTGTGAAAATACCTTCGAGTAGAGTCTGAAATAGCATAAACTATTTCTCTCTAGCATGATCACAATTCTTGCAAACCTTTTATCCTTGTATGTGAAATCAGTTCTAATTCTGTGTTCCCGCAAAGCATGTTCTTGGTTATTGTTTTCAAAACCATGTGGTTTGGGTTACTATTTGAATATAATATTTATGATACTACTTTGGTTGTTCAGCTTAAAAAGGGAAGTGCTGCATACCATTGCATATTAAAAAGCTTCCGTGTAATTACTGCTTTTTGCAGTACTGCTGTGCAAATCTCTGGGTCGGGAATTTAAATGGCGATTTTACAGAGTTCACAGTTACTTTGTATAAAAGCCATAAGTCTCCTTCTAGAAACATGGGGGCTGCAGGCACTGGGGAGTGTGGAGTGTGGTGCCTGCACTGGTTTTTACCTTTTTCTTATTGCAGCATCTATGCTTGCCATTGGCCTTTGTTACTGCCAGGTGCATAGAGTGTGGTGGGCTCCCCCAAACCATTATCTGTTGGTCCCCTTTGGGTCTGCATTACCTATTTCCACATGTACTGTCATATTGTCATCCTATCCAAATATGTCTGATCTGGTTGCACCTTGCAGAGGAGTGCATGACATGGGAGCACTTCACTGCCCCTCTCTGCCTTGCCTATCCATGCAAAGGAACCTGTGAGGCTGCAAGAGGCAGAGTCTGTTGCCAACTCAAAGCCAAAGTCCCTGGGAGGTTCTTCAGGGATGGTGATGGACCTAAGACCATGCTGTAGATGTCTGTAGGATTCAGGCCACACAATCCCCTTAGGTTCCCCAGGGTATCCTGCCTGGTCTCCAGTTGCTGCTCCACCAGAGTTCCTTTGTCCTGGGGGACACACATTGGATCTGGTGCCCAATGCAGATATCTTGGTTTTCCTCATGTGTCTCAAATAGCACTTGGGATCCCTGTAAAGCCACAGCATCCTGCCCTGACTATCTCACATATTACAAAAAATGGCTAATATGTAAAACCCTGTTTCAAAGAAATGGTTACAATTACCATTGTGAATAAATTAGTTCCCCCCAGAAAGGCTTGTTCAGATATTAATGGAAAAGATAGAAAAAATTCCCCCTCATTGTTCTATGCCCTGCAGACTGACCATGCTGCCAGATCCACCCGTATGTTCCTTTGCACAAAACTGATTGAAACCTCTGTGGAGAAGTTCTGTATGTTAAAGAGTGAGACATGAAAAAGCTTGTAGAAAATGAAAGGAGCCAGTCTCAGAGGAGACAAATCCCAGACAGAATCAGTTTGAGATTGCCAGAAGAATTCATCTATATGACACTTCTCTGCGAATCCTGTGAGTAATGTACAATCAATGTGTGCAGGTAGAGAGGAGGAACTTTAAGAGTTTGTAGAATGTGACCATTACCTTATGAATCACAGGTAAAGTACCAAATTCATGAAGAGAAAATGTCCCACACTGCTGTGAAGATCAGACTCAGTAGCTGTGAGAGGGGGCTGCAGCCCAGAGAATCTGAGGCATTCAGTCAAGATGACCAAACACGAGTGCAGAATTCTCCAGGATGAGTGTGTTTACAAACACTTGGATCTGACCAGCAGAGCTCAGCCCTCCAGGCAGGTTCTCTAGTCTGGCCGCTGCTCTAAAGGGAAGCTATTGAAATTTGTATGAAAGCTTCTTTCTGAGCGAGGCAGAGAGGTACAAGATGAAGGTCACCACTTAGCCCGCTCACAGAAATGCAGCAGGGATGAAGAGCTCACCCAACTCACACCAGATCTCAAACAAGAGCAGAACTTTAGGGCTCACTTTTCCCTTTGCAGTAAGAGCAGCACTGAGAATTTCTGCTGGTACCAGCCTGAGAACAAAGGCTAATGAATGAATGAATAGGCACGAGGCTGAAATGAGATTCACTGCTGAACATGTGCTCTGCCTGGAGGAGGAGGAAGAGAGAGTAGTTGAGTGAAAATGGTTCTGTGCACTAACTTCACACAGTTCATTTTCTAGGGTTTTTTTCACCAAAAACATTTCATAAGGGCTAATAGTCACTCTGAAAAATATTTTAAAGGGTCAAAAAGGCACTACAAAACTTGCCAGAATATGACAGCTGACAGGTTGCCCAAGTGAGGAATTTGTAAACAAGTTTTTGTGTTGGTTTTTTTTTTGCTTGGTTTGTTTTGGTTTTTATTCTTTTGATATTTAACTGGTAGATATGAGTGGAAATATGTTCAGGTTCTCCTAAGCTCAGATATTCAGAAGTTTTACTTAGCCTTTTATCTTGGATTCCTTGTTAAGATCTAGACTTTTGCTAACCTCCTGCTTTATCACAAGTCTTACAGAACATAATTTTTAGCAAGGTTTATGGAGTGTTGTGAACACATGAAAATCTGATTTCTCTGGAACACAGATAGGAGGAAAAAGCTATAGAGAAATGATCAGGTGGAGTATTGGAATTCACAGTGGCCTCCTAAAGGGGCCAAACCAGGAAGGGAAATTAACAGCTTTAAAGCTTTTTAAAGAGCTTTAAAGTTAAAGGATATAACCTATTTCTGTAGATTGTAGGGATGGATAAGGTGCTTTGGGAGCATATCCTACTTTTTTATATGTTTGAGTCTTTAACACACATCTGGTTTCGAGACAATTACTTGAATAGTAAAAACCATTGTTTGGACATTGCTGTTTTAAGAGCCTTTAAAGCTTTGTAGAGGTTTTGATACAAATATTTTTTTACCAGTATAAAACATGGAGGTGCACTGACATAAATCCAGTGTAAGCATGAGGAGAATCAAGTTCTTTATCATGCTTTTAAAATCCACCAAGTGA